CCTATCCCATCGATGGGAACCCAGCGATGGTAAGGGTATACCATCGATGGGAAGGCATGACCGTTGGTGGTCATTAAAGGTTGATTCTTTCCTTGTTTGGAAGTCAACCTCCCACCCAGCGATGGGAAGCTTGTACCCATCGATGGGTAGGTGACCGTTGACTTCAAAACTGAAGGAAAATTGGCTTACCAGCGATGGTTGAGTTTAAACATCGATGGGAAGCCAATATTCTGCAGATCCCAAATCTTTTCAATCCCATAAATCAAGCCAATCACCCCTTTAATGCATTGGTCCGTTGGAGCCTTCTTTGGCACTATAAAAAGGGGTGTTTGGGTCTGCTTTTCTCACCAATTCACTTCACAACATCTATACTTTTATTACATTCAAATATCATCATTTTCCATAGCTTTCTATAGCCATTTGTGTGTGCAGGTTGAGTTGTTCTTGAGCGTACTTAGTTTACTCATAATCTACTCTATAAGAGAGTCTCGTTCTTGAGTGTACTTGTGTTCTTAGACACGTTGTGAGATAGTATCTCTCTCGGTTGATTCAAAGGAAGGTCTGTTTCCTTTGAAGGATTCGTTGAGGTTCGTGTGACTCGAACTCTCAAGTTGTAACGGGTTGTTAAGCACCCGTAAGCTTAACGAGTTAGTAGTGTAGCTCGAGAGGTTTAGCAGAGAAGGCAAGTTTAGCAGAAGTATTTTCTAATTCCCCTAAAGGTCGATGATAGAGGTTTCTAATAATACGCCGACCGTACGTTGCAAACTAGTGATATTTAGGTTATAAAATTATATTACTCTATTAATCATCAAAGTATCTTAAAAATAGTTTTAAATTTTTACTATCCTTTATCAATTAACAAATAAAAAAATTCAAACCACTATGATCTACATTTCTTGAAATGCAACATACAATTTATTAATTACTGAGTAGTTTATTGATTGATTAATTTATTGCGTTAGGAAAAAGATAGCAAAATTGACTATCTAAAGTATTCAATATTTACACTTTTTGTATCTATGGCTTAAAATCATAACCTAAGTCATATTTAGTTCATTAGATGAGTGTATACTATGATATCACAAGAAATATTATACTCAAAATATATTATTCAATACTATTTTTGCCCCATAAAACTTTTTTATTTAAAAAAAGTAATTCAAGATATTCGTAATTTTAATATTATTTTTCAATTTCACCCTAAAATATGCCATATCCTTGGACATTCTCTATCATGTGACTCAAATACATCTTCATATCTTAGGATTAAAGAATTAGTCAATGGATAAAGGTTGTGGAAGAGTTGAAGTAAATTTTGACTTGAATCCTTTTACATGAAATAAAACATTTAATAACACAACAAAAGGGGATGACAAATTTGAAATATAGAATTGATAAATACAATTAAGATAAGAAAGATTCAGATATTGAATACTTTAGATAGTCATTTTTTCTTTCTTTTTCCAAAGACAATAAATTAATTAATAAACTACTCCGTAATTAATAAATTGTATGTGGGTACTTATCAATAGTAATGAAGTGAGCTTAGGAAGTACGAAATGAGCCGTGGATAACCAATGGTAGACATTATTTACAATTAAAAAAATTGAAAATTTTATTTGCCGTGCAACGCACGGGTATGAATCTAGTTATGAAATTAAAAAAAAAGTATTACATATTTAAAAAACTTATAAAGAATTATTCTAAAAAAATATACTTCAACTTCTTGAATGATTATGGAAGAATAGATAAATTTAGAATATTTAGTGAGAAAAGAAGAGAGAAAATATGAGATGTACTTGAAGAGATTATGTAATTTGTGTAAAAAGAAGGAAAAGATTTGATTATTTGTAGTTGAAAAAATTAGGTATAGGAATAGGGAATGATTGGAGTGTGAAAGGGAGAAAAAGAGGGGGAATCACTGCGCACAAGCAGTGTTGCTCTATTATTATATTGAAATGGCTTTTGGAAAGCCGAAAAAAATTAAAAAAAAAAAAAAGAAGAAAACAGCTTTATGAAAGCCGAAAACCAAAAAAAGAAAAATTAAAAAAAAAATCCGCTTGTCTAAAGCCTATTTTCCTTGTCAGGAATTACCCTTTCCCACTTGGGAATTATATCCAAAATATTTTCCCTAGGGTAAGCACCCGAATCCAGATCCCAAAATTCATGCACATCAATCGGAGAAAAGGTTCGCCCATCAAGAGGTAAAGCATTTCCGTCGAATCTCCCCGTTCTATCTCCCCCATCCATCATCATTCCAAATGACATTTCATTCGCGCATATTGTTTTGAATTTTATCTGTCCGACCGATTCTGTTTCATTCCGATCAGTTCATCGATGGCGATCGCATCGGAGAAGATATACAATTGAGGAGGGAAAGGATGTCTGGCGGCGGCGCAGGAGCTTTTCTCACTCGGTCACTCGAGTCAATGCTAAAGGAGTGTTCCAGTAAGAAGTATTCTTCTCTACAGACCGCAATCCACAAGTGTTTAGGTTAGTAACTGGTTTTTTGCTGGAAATGTATTATTCTTCATCACTGTTTTCATTTTTTTCCAACTCCGTGGCTTAGGGACTTAGGATTATTATCAATACTCTGCAATTTTTTATTCAATTGTTCTAGTGGAAGTTAGACGGTAGCATTTCCGAGCCGAGTGTAATATAATTTCTGCTTTTATTGGAAGTTGAAGCTGATGAATGTTATCTGCCATCCTAATAAAGTCCAGTGGTGGAAAGGCTTTGGCATTGTTAGGTGTACATACATTCTAGAGTTACTGGCTTACTGCCACTAATGTGATTCAAACCTGTGACTCTGTGAGGTTGTGACCTCTCATTTGAGAAAGTCACCATGATGATGCCGCTGGACTACATGATCTTTGGCAATGTGAGAGTTAATAACTACATTTTAACATATATAGATACTGAGTATTATAAAAATATAATATTTTAAAACTACATTTTAAAATGAGTCTAATCATATAAAATTCACGTTATAACTAAATATACTTTATGTGTAAAGTTTGGTCAAAGTTTGGGAACTTGGACCAAGAAGAATCAAACAAGCAAAATAAATTAGGAGAGTGAAAGAGTCAAAGAGAGAGTGTTCCTGATAAGCAAGATGTTAAAAACAACAAAATAAAAGGAAAGAAAATTATAGCCCCTGTGTGCTAATACCTTGAAACTTTTGGGGTCCAACTCCGTTAATACGAGACTTTTTGGGAGGTGCTAGAAAATAGATTGGTGCAAGTTGACAAAAAATAAAAATATAAAATCAAATGCCTTGTAATACATGGTCTTGAAGCTCAAGTCTATGTGCCTCTTAAGGTTAGTGTATTTTAATAATACCTTTGCTCTTTTAACACCAGTTGTCCTGAAGGCATCGAGTCAGCAAACCATACATGATGAGAGTAATTTTGTGGCATCCAAAGGTTCAGAGCAGAGGTATGAAATGGTTTAAGAGCGTTTGATTTTATATATATATATATATATATATATATATATGTATATGTGTGTGTATATATATATGTGTGTGTGTGTGTGTGTGTATGTGTATATATATATATATATATATATATATATGCTTACGTGTTTAGTATATAAGCATTGCAGAAGCAATAATGTAATATACTATCTGCCGCTGTTTTCCGGCCTATCTTCTTTCCATGTTCCTTTAATTCAAGGGATTTAAAAATTTGTTGCATGATTTTTTTGGAAATACCTTTTTTTTCAGTAGTTTGCGTGAAACGAATGCTGGATCAGAGGGAACAGTTCACTCAATCCCAACTTCTCCTAGCAAGACTATCCTGACTGCTTTAGCACATGCAGGCGATACATTAAGTGTTTCTGAGGCAGAACTTGTTCTAAATCCTCTTCGACTTGCTTTTGAGACAAAAAATGTAAAAATTGTGGAGCTTGGTTTGGATTGTCTTCATGTAGGTGTTTGTACCCATTTTTTATTTCTTGCTTTTGATGATTCCTAGCATATCTAGAGAGCAATTCTTTTAAATAGGGAACTTTGTTTATTTCAATGAAAAGCTGATGTAATGAATTATGACACCATGGAGTTGTCTATTGGATATCATGGAGAACTTTTTCTTTATATCAAAGAAACATTGATTGATGCATTTGGAAAGTTCTTAATGGAAAAGAAATTAGTTTCACTTAAAGGAATTTTCAAAAACCTCCAATCCGTAAGGGATGGATCATGAGTAATGCAGAACAAAACAGGAACATTTGTCAATGAACTGCAATTTTTGGGCAGTGTGTCATAGAGTTTCTAATAGTAGTGCCTCATATACACTACTAGTCAAATGTTAGTGAAAAAAGATTGTAAACTTATGCACTCGACCATTCAAGCGCAGAAACTCATTGCATACGATCATTTAGATGGAGATCTTGGTTTTGATGGTTTGGGAAACGGGCCACTCTTTTCAGACATCTTGGGGTTGGTCTGCAGTTGTGTTGATAATGTGTTACCGGATGGGTATGTGCATCTTTATTGTAGGCAATTTTCACTCACACACTAATTGGTTTTTTAGATGTAATTTTACTCAAAATCATTTGCAGTACTACTCTTCAAGTATTAAAGGTACTTCTTACTGCAGTAGCATCAACCAAGTTTAGAGGTATGCAACTATTCTTAGGTCTTTGTGTCCATTGAAATAAATCCACTTAATGTAATATTGCATCAGTGTTATCCATTTTGCTACAAATGATGGAACACATGCTTTTCCTTGATTGACATTCAAAAGCTTGCCACATTTTTTAAAAACTTTATGGTGTTCATTTTATGCAGTTCATGGGGAACCACTGCTGGGCGTGATCAGAGCATGTTACAGTATAGCTCTGAAGAGGTATTTAGTTTTTTTACAGGATGGTAGATATGGGTTTGACTTCAATTCAAGCTGACAGCATCTAGTCTAAATGTTCAGCAAATCCCCAATAAACCAAGCCACCTCGAAATCCATGTTAACCCAAATGCTAAGTATGGTCTTTAAGCGCATGGAAGCTGATGGCCTGGCATGTAAATATGTAAGTAGTTTGTGGCTTACAGAAACTTTTTTTCACTTCTATGAACCGGAATAGGAGGTTGGACATAGTAGTTCAGATTTTCTGCCTTGCTGACATTACAGATCTCTACTTCATCTAATTTTGTTACTCAGAAAATGGATGCTTCATCAAATGTTCCCAAGTTAAAGATTGAGGATATGTCATCTGATGATCATAACAAACAAGAAAGCATGTTGAGAGATAAATGTTCTGCTAACCAAACCAAAGATGTGTTTGTTGCTTCTCTCGAGGAACTTTATAGTCTTGTGGATGGGGTTGATATTAAGGTTCTTTCCGTATAAGAAGAATTTCATATTTTCAAAATTATAGCTGTGTTGTTCTTCAATTGCAAACTTTCTATGGGGTTGTGGAAATTATACTGTAGTTTCTTGTGCCACTTAGGGTTTAGAGGATATTTTTGAGAAGGCCGTGCAACTCGAAGAAGGGGGAAAACACGCAGGGTATGGATTCAGCGTCAAAGCTAAGCGTGTTATAGTACAAATAATGTTATTGTATAATTAATCTTTTGAAGTGTGTAACTGTGGATGGTTTTATTTGCATATTTTATTGGTATTTTAACAATTTGCTACTATAACCAGAGGGAGAGATTTAGGAAGCACAAACATTGGACTACATGATGCTTTGATTCTTTTCCACTCCCTTTGCAAGGTGTGTGTGTATGATTACAACCAAGGTGACTTCTGTTTTTAACCACTGCAATCATGGGTTTTTTTCTAAGTAGGCTGTATTTGCAGATGGCTACGAAAGAGAAGAATGGCGAACCTAAAACTGAAACATGCATTCTGTCACTAGAGCTTTTGCAGGTGGATCTGTATTTAGAGCTAAATGAGTTGTTGAACTACTGTTTTTAATAAATTAGCACTCTACCACCTTCAAAATGTTTGGAATAAGTGAAACAATGGGTTTGACTATGAGTGTTTTTTTACCTCAACTTAGCTTTCCTGTACATGATATTCTGGCAGCCTTGAGCTTTACGTAGTATTTGTTTCTTTGTTCTTTTTTGTTTTTGTTTTTTTTGTTAGTATTTGAGGCACTTTTATGAGTACCAGAAATCACTTTTCATCTAGAAAAATGGTTTAGAACATTAAAAAAATCTTATTAAAGGGTCTTAGAGATTAAATTAATTACATTCACTCTTTTTTAACAAGATGATGCTTTCTGATTTTAAGAATGAAAACTCTATACTCTTTCCCTATTCTGTCCCTTGAACTTTTCCTTGCACCTATTGCTTTTCTTTCTTGTTTACAAATGGATTCAGTACATTACACACATACACACACACCCTCAGGCCTCAGCTTTATATTAATGTCTCAGATGAAAGTCCATAAAGGTGGCATTCTTCCAAATTATTTGAGCATAGTTGAAAACAAAGGCACTGGCCTATACATTTATCGTGGGGTTTACCTTTTCCTTCATCTGTAGTGGGAATTCTTCTAACATTATTTAAATCATGGAACTTGAAGGGTCTGCTGGAAGAAGCCACCGACTCATTCACACTATTGCTTGACTCTGTCAAAGCTCACATCTCCTACACACTGTTGCAAGTGTCAGTGTCACAGTCTCTTTCCATATTTCAGGTCAAGTTTTAGCCTTCTTTTACCATTCATGCTATTCCAGAATGCACTAATGCCATATCTCTTCAATAAACTTCATTGTTTTGACAGTATGCAACAAGAATTTTCTCCATACTTTTATTACGATACAGGCAAAGCCTTAAGGTATAATCAATTTTCAGAATGTTAATTTTGTGCACTTCTGCAAGTCTTTCTATTACATGGGTCCATAAGTATCTGATTTTTTTAATGTTCCAGGGTGAAATTGGGGTTCTATTTCCCTTGATTGTCTTGCGAACATTAGGTGAGGAAGACTTGAACTTAAAAACAGATGTTCTCAGGTATAACCCGCTAAGTTATAGAGATAGCTTTGTTTTTAGCTTTTTTTATTGAGCTTCCTAACTTTTACACACGCATTGGGAAAAGAAGAATGAAACAAGAAAGTTATCAAGGTAGTAATAAAATTGATTTATGGTAGATCTTGTACTATTCATTATAATGTCGCTCAAAGTTTAGGCACTGTTTTTCTCGTTTGGGAGAAGAAGAATGTATGTTGGCAAGTTGTGTTTCTCACAGGATTTTAAGTTTACCTGTATTCTTTTAGTGGGGTTATTGAATATGACCTTGCAGGATGCTGGAAAAAGTCTGCAAGGACTCACAGATACTTGTTGACCTATATGTGAACTATGATTGTGAGCTCAAAGCACCTAACTTGTTTGAACACATGGTATTATATTATGTATTTTCTTTGACGTAAAATTTTATCTTATTATATTTTAAGCAACTCCCCTTTGTTTTTCTCACATAGGTCACAACACTATCCAGAATTGTTCAAGGGGCACAAAATGCAGATATGAACTCAGCTGCTTCGTCCCTCATAAGCGCAACCAAGATGTTATCCCTTCAGGTGTGTATGGCATGACCTTTTTTGTTATCTGATGGTAGTGATATATTTGATTCTCGTGATATTTTTTTTTAATTTCTCCTGGGTTTTGGCATCTGTAGTGTCTTGTGACTGTGTTAAGGTCGCTTGTTGAATGGGAGAACTGTCAGCCAGGACCATTAATAGTTAATCAGGGGAAGCAATCTTTTGAAGAAGGTTTAAGTGGAAAACATGATGATGTAACATGTAAGGAAACTTTACCATGTGACTTTGAGAAGATGAAGGCACGTGAATCACCAATAGAAGTTGCAGTCTCTGAAGTAAGTGCTTCTTGCATACAAAATGTGGATATCACAAGTTTTCTTGGTGTCATTTTTTATCTCTTAGTGATTCTTTGGGTTGGAATATGATAAACTGAATACTCAACATGTGGCAGTTTAATAGGCAGCCCAGTAAGGGGATAGAATATCTGATATCAAGTAGGTTGGTGGAGAGATCACCTGCTTCAGTTGCTCAATTTCTCAGGAATACTCCCAATTTGGATAAGGTCAAAATGCTCCATCTCTTTGTCTAATATATTGGTACAATATGGAATTATGAAGTGCATTTTGCTCCAGGCCATGATTGGTGAGTACTTGAGTCTGCACGAGGAGTTTCCACTTGCTGTCATGCATGCATATGTTGAATCTATGAACTTTTCTGGAGTGAAGTTTGATAAAGCAATTAGGGAACTTTTTAGAGGACTGCAACTTCCTGGAGATTCTCGGAAGATAGACTGCATAATGGAAAAGTTTGCAGAATGGTATGTTACCTTGCTTATCCTCTCCGAGCCCATTATTACATGTGACTCTGTGAGTTTAACTATTTTATATGAAATTTTAGTTCACGATTTACTTTCACATGTTAGGCAATGTTATTCATGTGTATCATGTCTCACAGAAGGAGAGGTGTGATGCAGATTAGAAAGCTACAAAATAGATGCAAAAAATAAAGATTTAAATTCCCGATTACTGACTTATACGAAATAGGGGAAACCGGGAATTTTTTTTTGCATTTTGGCTTGTTTTAATAACAACATTAATTAAACTCTTGTACCAAAAACTTTCTATTACTTTCAAGTACTCTGTAACACTTTTACATGGTAAATTCTTTCATGGGTGAAGTCGTTCACATGAAAAGACTTGACAAACTATTGATTTTATATGAAGACTATGTGTCTTATGTATTAGTTCTTCTACATAAGGAGCAATTTGCCAGACTATTGTGTTTAAATGTAAAATTTATCACTAATATGACAAGTTTTATTTTTTGAGCATAGTTCAATACTAACTAACATCTTGAATTTAGTAAAATGGTCATCTTGGCATCTCTAATCTCTCTGCCAGTTTTTTTAAAAATGAGTGCATATTATGTTTGTGAAATAGCATTCCAAACTATTAAACATGTGTGCATCTCTTTTCACTTCACTAAAACTCTACTAGTATTGAAAAGCCTCCCTACGCAAAAATGGTGTACAAAGTAGGTGTATCTCACCTTAGGCATCACGTAGATATGAAGTGTATAACTCGCTTCAAATATATTTGGCGCACTTGGCTCATCTTTTCCCTCTTTATCAATTAATCTGATGAACACTCGAATGTAAAATGTTTAGTAGTTTGGATAAATTTGACATTCTTGTTCTTTCCTTCTACAGTTACTGTGCGGCCAATACTGATATATTCAAGCATGCCGATACAGCTTATGCTCTTGCATATGCGGTAATACTGTTGAATACTGACGCCCATAGCCCAATGGCCTGGCAAAAAATGTCAAAGGATGACTTCGTGCACATGATTGTCATGCAAGACGATGATGATTGTGCTCTCAAGGAACTCTTGGAGGAGATCTATGATTCCATTGTTGTTGAAGAGATCAAAATGGAAGAGAGAGGGCAAGTGATGAATATTCTTAATCTATCTCCACCAAGAAAAAAGTATTTGATGGACTCAAAGGCCAAAAGCAAGGCCATCAATGCACATAAACAATCTATTATTAAGAATCAAGGTGGGATAAGAAGAGAGCTTTGTACTTCGTACAATATTGCGCTAGTGTGCCCTATGGTTGAAGCTGTAGGATGGCCTCTGCTTGCTACTCTTGCAGTTACTATGGAGGAGGGAGAGAATCATACAAGGATCACTCTTTGTATGGAGGGATTTAAAGCTGGAATCCACACAACCCATGTTCTTGGTTTGGACACCATGCGTTGTGCCTTCTTGACATCTTTGATCAAGTAATTCATTTCATTTATAATTTTGGCTTGAATAAAGTTTAGATTAAAGATAAGTACAATAGATAAGGGGGGGGGGGAAAACACCTTATAAGTAACTTAAGTGTCGAATGTTTAAATGACTTAGTCCTGATACTAAAACAATAAACGTGTAAAATACCATAAGGACCTTTCGTTAAGACACCTCAAAAGAAACGTCACTCCATTTTGATATCAAAACACTTAAAAAAACGTCTAAAAATATGTTACATTCACCAAGGGATATGAGAAGTAAGAACTTGGAAGCATTGCAGACACTGCTGGTTTTATGTGATTCTGATACCAATGCACTTCAGGATACATGGTATGCAGTGCTTGAGACTGTTTCTCGTCTTGAATATCTTGTATCATCTTCTTCTCTGGCTGCAAATATGATGCAAGGATCTAATCAAATATCTCGAGATTTTCTCATTCTTTCATTGAGGGATCTGGCTGGACAACCTGCTGAGCGGGTGTTCATGAATAGTGCTAAGTTGCCCAGTGATTTAGCAGTGGAATTTATCACTGCTTTATGTGATGTTTCCGTTGAAGAACTAAGAGAGCAACCAGCACGCTTATTTAGCTTGGAAAAACTCGTTAACATCAGCTACTGCCACATGGCTCGTATAAGAATGGTAATTTCTCAACTCATTTGAGGGTCATGTTAGAAAGCATTTTTTTTTTCACAACGCACAGACGTATTAACCAAGTGGGTTTATGATGTTATCACTTATCAAGCATATTAATGCCTTCCCTTCATTCCGAACTTTACCTCTGCTATCTAGCGGGTTGCGGCTTACTAGTGCCACTTGCCACCCTCCTAATATCTCAATATTCCACAGATTATTTTGTGTTTTTGGTTATTCTATTACAAATCTCTGTTTCAAGGTGCAAACGTATTTGGATCTATTTATTTGAAGAAGAAACAAAGTCTATGCCCAATATTTTCAGTTTATTGTTTGTAAATGGAATTGATCGCCATAAGATAAATTTGCATTGCTTAGGTTTGGGCAAGAATATGGATTGTGCTGGCAAATCATTTAATTTTTGCTGGAAATCATCCTGATGAAAGAGTAAATGTGTATGCAATGGATTCTTTCAAGCAGCTTGGCATAAAGTGTTTGGAGCGCACAGAAAATAGTTTCAAATTCCAGAATGATATTTTGCATCCGTTTGTGACTCTTATGCGCGACAGCAAAAGTGAATCCATGAGGAAACATACCGTTGATTGCGTAGTGCAAGTATGCATACTTTTTTCTCAGGTAGCTCAACATTAGTCTTCCATTTTAACTTGACTTATTGCGTTGCATTCGCAGATAATAAAGTCTAAGGCTGCAAGTATAAAATCTGGTTGGAAAAGTGTATTTATGATTTTCACAGCTGCTGCGGAGGACGCGATAGAACCAATTGTCGAAATCGCATTTGAAAACGTAGAACAAGGTAAGAACTAAGGATACATTCTTTAGGTACGCTGCTCTTTTATTAGGCTCTCTAATTTATGTTGATTTTTACACCCTTCTTCACAAAGCGAAGTGTCTTGTTTTATAAAGGTATAACATTTAATATTTGGCAATGTACACCTCTTAGAAGTCAGGAAAAACAACTTTAAAATATAAAAAATGTTTTAGCTCAAGTTTATGTATTAACATGTTTCTAACTTTTTGGCTAAGAAGATGAAAAATTGGTTCTATTTATGACGTATGACTCTTTTTTGGGACAAAAACACTTTTGAAATATTACTCTTTTTTGAGAGCGATGGAGAATTTTTCTGTGTTCAGTAAGTGCGGCAGTGAAGTTAAATTCTATGTTTGCTTTTAAGTGTTTGGTTTCAGTAAGAGTGAAAGTGAAATCGTGTGCAGTTATCGTGGAACACTTTGATCAGATTGTTGGAAACTGTTTTGTGGATTGTGTCAGTTGCTTAGTTGGGTTTGCCAAAAGTATGTGCTCTCACAGAATAAGCCTGAAAGCAATTGCACTCATTCGTATTTGTGAGGATCGCCTGGCTGAGGTTCTTTTCCTGTATTTTTTTATCATATGGCATTGCGTTGTTTTGGTGATTTCCACATTTTTACTGTATTTTAAAACATGTCTTGCTGCCACACCACAAGGTCCACAAGGCAACCAATCATGTCATAGGCCTGGTTGTGTTATTAAAAAACAGTTCAGGCTCAAATTGTTTTATATAGTTATGATACGACTTAATGTTGGTTTCCATTAACCAAAGCAGACCAATTTTTTTTTCTTGAAAAAAAATTAAGTTTTAAAAAGTAATATCTTAAATGGTGATTTCATTTATACGGTGATTATGGTCATGTACCACGAGATGCATGCTGGTTTCACAATATCAATTCTGTAATGAGAAAGTACTATAGAGACTATTTCAAATCACCATTGTGTCATCATCTTTTCTATGCCAGCGGAAACGAAACCCTTGATGATGACAATTTTGGAATTTCATATTGTCATTCCTTTTTAAGAAGGTTGAGATGGGAAGGAACTTTTGTATGTTTTTTTTTCCAATAATGTTTGGTATTAACTATGTCTAAAGAATTTACTGACACTAAATATCATATTGAACCCAACATAGTTAGGATCAAGGAATGGTGATCCTATAGGCGAAACTATGTCTTGAGAAATAAATCGAGAATATACTATTGTGATTTGGGTGGATATGTTGTTTGTCGCAATTAAACTTAACTAGTTGATGAACTATTATGATTACTTTTTGTGGGAATAGATAAATGGTTATGGTAAGAATCCCGCATCGAACATTAAAGATATAAATGGGTTTATAAAGCCCGTGCTTATTATAACTCAGTTGAACGTATTCGACTCAACCACTGGATTCTATCAGTGAAAAGTATAGAAAATGCAGTGTCTTACCTCTCACTAGCAAATATAATAGTGGCACATTTGATTTGGAAAGTAGCACAAGCTTTGCCGCATCAAGCTCTTTTTAGTATCTCTGGGGTTTGCTCACTAGTTTTGCACAAACATCTTCAATTCTAAGACTTTTTTTTGTTTAATTTATTCTGCAGGGCTTCATAGCAGGTGGTCCTTTGGAATCATTTGGTAATAATGCAGTTGGAAGTTATCATGTCAGAGAGGATTATTGGTTCCCAATACTAGCTGGTCTCTCTGCTCTAACCTCTGATCCACGGCCCGAGGTTAAAAACTGTGCACTTGAGGTTTTGTTTGATCTGTTGAATGAGAGGGGCAGCAAGTTCTCGTCTTCGTTTTGGGAGAGAATATTCCACCACGTGTTATTTCCCATTTTTTATCAAGCAAAGCATGACGGAGAAGAGAACCCAGACTCGTGTAGGTATGAAAGGGTTCGTGAAAATAGCATTCACTCACTCCAACTGCTTTGCAACCTTTTCTGCACATTTTACAAGGTAATGGGGGTGTGATGTGGTCTACATAGATGTTTATGCTAGAAAATCAGCATTTATGCTGTAATGCCAACTTTGCACATTTCAAGTTTGTTGTTATATCCTTATAATTTTATAAATTTATTCTTGAGAATTTTTTTTACAATGAGTAAATCTTTGCTTTATCAAACTAAGGTATAGAGAAACTATGACATATCCATTTTCCTTAGGAATTTCTTAATTCTTACTTCATAGAAACTTGTTAAACCGGGCCTAACATTCCTCAAAGGATTTCCTTAGGTGAAAATTGGTGTGGGCCCAAACTGACCCCAAATTGGTTGGCTTAAACAATTGATTTATTTAGCGCTGCACAAACCACAATTGGACCAGGCTTTCATACCACATTAAATTTGGTCTACTTCATTCTAAAATATTCCTCAAGAGGTGATGTTTCTTTGCAACCGATTGTGAAGGTGAAGATTTAAGAAGTGAATGAAAAACTGAAAACCTAGTTTCTTTACAACCTTCTGTAACAAACAAAACCTTGCGAGTTAAAATGGAATATGTGTTTGGTGCTTGCCAAATTTATGAGTTCACTTCCTTGAGTGTTTTATGGATGGTATCATTTGTACATTTCACATTCATGACCATCTTTCTTTGTTTTGCATAGGTTGTTTCTTTTATGCTCCCTACACTTCTCAGTTTGCTGTTAGATTGTGCCAAAAAGGCTGATCAGCAAGTGGTTTCAGTCTCTTTGGGTGCATTAGTGCACCTGATTGAAGTAGGCGGACATCAATTTGGTCTCAGTGACTGGGATACTTTGTTGCAAAGCATAAGGTGTGAAAATATATTTTCTTGCTGGTGACTTCATGTACTCTCATTGTGTTTGGTCATGTTTAAAACAATTATGAATTATATATGAATATATAAATTGAACCCAGTGATGCTTCATACACAACACAACCTCTTGAGCTGCTCAATGATTTGGGGTTCAGAAAGGCAAATGACCAGACCATGCCAAGTCTAGATTCGAGTTACTCTCCAGCTCATAGTGATACCAATATTTCTGGTAATACTGAGTTTTATTTATAATCGGTAATACTGAGTTAATGAATAATCATCACCATGATATTTATTATGTTATTGACTACTGGAGAACACCTGGAATCATGTCAGCGAGTACTGGTACTGATGACTCTGCAAAGGTTCAAAATGCATTAGGCATGCAGGAAGACAGTCAGGGGAGGAAGCCTATTGAGGAGGAGGAAAGTGAAGGTTAATACTAACTGTATAAGTTCTATTATTGATCTATTGTTATGGCTTTTAAATTTAATGAACTTTGCAAGGGCAATTTGTTCTCCATTATTTTGACTCTTATCAACATGAGCATATCAAGTATCTTGAAGATGTTTTTTCGCGCTTATAGGAATGCCTTCACCTTCGGGAAGAGCTTCGGAACCTACTTTGTCTGATGGTTTTCAACAGAGTCAAACAATTGGTCAGAAAATTATGGGAAATGTGATGGAAAATCTATTTATCAGAAGTTTTACCTCTAAATCCAAAAGCAAGAGTGGAGTATTGGCATCTCCACCCAAGGTATTGACACAGTATATATTTTCCCTCATCATCATCATAGGGGTTTTACCATTTCAATTCAACAGCAGTCTACTTTGTTCGGCTTTAAGCATTATCAATACGATTTCATCATTTTCGCTTTCCCAAATGCATCTGTAGAACAGGAGATTTATTTTATTTTTGGTATAGATTAGCTTTTGTAGTGATTATGTCATGACGGTGTCATTGCTCACATCATCATGGCATATTTTCCCTGGATGTATTAGACCCACTCATTTATTGTTTGAATACATCTTAACATTGTAATATGAATAGCCTGTTTTCTATGCCCGTTGCATGAAAGTTTTGATTGGCAAGCAAGGAAAAGGAAAATATTCACTAAATAATCTATCAGAAGAGAATATGTTGGAACAGTGATAATATTGACAGACCCTTGGAAACATTGCGCTTGTCATTTTTCTCCTAATAAAACACGACTACCATAAAAGAGTAAAAGAGTCTCTTTTTAATGTTTTTTTCATGCTTTAATGGCTTTTACCTATGTATTAATGTATAGATTTCTGAAAATATGAAGCCTGGTGCAAGAGATGAGAATGAAAGTTCAGTGTTAGCAACAGTTAGGAATAAATGCATTACACAACTGCTGCTTCTTGGTGCCATTGATAATATTCAGGTCTGTTTTCAATTTTTACGTGTGTCAATGTGTGAGTGTGTTTAAAATTTATTATGTTTACTTTCTTTTTTTGTAACTTTTACTTTCTTATTTTTGGTAATCACTATTCTGATTTGATCATTTTATCTCTGTGTCCCTTCCAAAATATTCAGAAGAAGTATTGGAACAAGTTGAAGACAGCACAGAAAACCTTTCTAATGGACATTTTATTTTCTCTGGTAGAGTTTGCAGCATCATATAATTCATATTCAAGTCTCAGATTACGCACACAGCAACTTGATGCCAACAGGTTGGGTTCATGCTATGAAATTTTTTCTTACCAAAATACCTTAGAGCTTTGTTTGGAGCACGGGAAGTGGTAGAGAAAAGGGGAAAATGGTTAATACTTCGTCCCAAAATAAACTTCCCACTTTCCCTTTTTTGTTTGTCCCAAAGTAAACTCTCATTCCAAGGAAAGCATTGAATAGTTCACATTCTTTATCTCTCTACATAAAACTCAACCACACAATTTCACTTTTTTTAACTTCGTGAACCAAATTTTATTTTCTTCCAAAATTTCCTTCAACTTTCCTCTCTATTTTTTTCTATAGCATTTCCCGGGTCCCAAATGCACCCTAAAATGATTTAGGTTCTGTATTTTTTCTCGGGCAGGCCTCCCTTGAATATCATCCGCCAGGAGTTAGCAGGAACTTCCATATATCTTGACGTGTTACATAAGGCAACTGCAGAAATAAATGCTGTAAAAGATGAAACACAGGAGACCTGTAAATCTCAAGATGCAGATCTTTTGGCGAGGAGCGATGAAACGTCAAAGGAAGTTGAAGAAGATAAGTTCCAAGGAGTTGCAGAACAGAAGCTAGTGTTATTTTGTGGAAAAATTCTGAGGGAGGCGTCTGAGTTCCAATCCAGCACAGGGGATGTGCCTAGCACAGATGTTCATCAAGTTCTTGAATTGCGTTCTCCCATCACTGTCATGGTATGCAATACACTTTGACATAATTCACTGCCATTTTTAGTTATGTACCAGTCAGTCCTTGTGCTAGCTTTTAACTTTCTTCATATACTCCGGGTAAGACATTTTTTGGGAAAAAGACTATAGGAGTAAAACATTGAAAATATACTAAAATAGCAGCTTCATGTTTTTATTCCCGAAATAAGAGTTAAAATGTATTTACATTACCAATCATATATGACCATGTACATTACCAAAAAGTATAGTAAAATGCTCATGTACAATGTCACATTACCACAATGCGAACTCTTATTTAAGGAATAAAAACATGGAACTCCTATTTTTGTACTTTCTCTATGTTTTTCTCTTATTTAGGGTGATTTCTTTTTCTTCTTTTTTTTTTGTTGCAAATTACGCTAAACATTAGCTTGGTCATGCCGCAGGTGCTGAAAGGCATGTCCCATATGAACACCCGAGTTTTCAGGAGTCATCTCAAAGAGTTTTATCCTCTGATTACACAACTGATGTGCTGTGACCAGGTAGGTACTACTCCATATATTATTATTATATACTTCCTCCGCCTCCAATTGAACTTTGTGTTTGAGTTTTCTTGGTCAAAAGTTCCAAAGTTTGACCATAATACGCAAAAAAAATATGTTGGGTTATAACGTAAACCTAAATATCATTTGATAAATAGATCGAGTATCAAATACAACAACAACAACAACCCAGTTAAATCCCACATAAGTAGGGTCTGGGGAGGGTGTGTGTATGCAGACCTTGCCCCTACTCGAAAGTAGAGAGGCTGTTTCCAAAGAGACCCCCGGCTCAACGTCGAAAGTTGCATTGCTTGACTAACTACTACTTCATTAATTAAAGAAGCGCAGATAGTTTAGAGATCCATTTTGATTTATTCCATCACACTCCAAAGCCAAAAAAATGGTAAAATTTTGGCTCCATCGGAGATGATGGAAAAAGATTGAGTATCAAATGTTGTTTGAAATATCATATTTTCAGAAAATTTATTTGTACCGATATAGATATTTACATTTATATCATATATGAATTTCTTTTTAGGGAGGAAAAGGAGTATAAGCATTTTAGTAGGACTGAGTTGTGTGTGTGTGTGTGTGTGTGTGTGTTGTAATAAGCGCTAGGACTCAGTTTATTCTTCAACTCATTTCTTCTATTTAATCATGTGCTGGCGGCTGGCCGATGCATATATATAAATGACTTCAGAAGGATGTACGTGGAGCCCTTGCGGATCTATTAAGCATGCAGATCAAAACATTGTTGCTCTGATCGATAGGCTACATTGCACGCAGGTATCCACTCCTAAGGATCGAACTGCTAGACTATTGAAGGAATTACAAGTAATATGCACTTCACATTATTCATACTTCTCTCTATTAAATCTCTCTAATTCAAACCGAGTTTTTTTTGTAATCTCCTGCCCGATAAATGGAGATATATAGAGATCGGTTCAGGTAAATTTGTGTTCATTTACACACTGCGCGCATGTGATGCACCGAACTAATTGTGACCTTTTGAACACAATTAAGTTGAAAACTGATTTAATGAATCTTCATACATATTCAAATGTACTCTTAGTAGTTAGTGTGAATATTATGTACTCCGAAATTATTGTTTAAGCTAATGGGTACATACATTATTTGATTTGTGTTCAATTACGATTTATGAATTCAAACTAGAAGTGCAGAAGACTAGAAGAGCATGCAGAGGCTCTTTAGCCTATTTGAACTAAAGTTTTTTTTTCTTGCTTTTTACGGAAGAACACAAATTGGGGGCAACGTAATATTTCTATGGGGGCTTAAGTGTTCATCTTTATGATTTTTTTTGTCATTGTTTGTGTAATTGTATTTTTTGCTTTTCTTGTACGTACGGCTATGTTTCAGGTCGAGAACATTCACAAACATGTAAAGGCTCAAACTCAACTATATATGGTTATCCAGACACAATGGTTCTATGATTCAATTATTTTAAAATTCATTTAAATATATTAATAGAAAGTATTTTTTTTAAAAAAAAATAGTGGTCCAATGATTTTATGATTCAAAAAAATCAATTTAAAAATATAAAAAATCTAATGATTTATCTCCCACGCAATAATTAAAAATTTTAATATGTTGAACAATTGAACATGATATGAAATATGTTGACCTTATTGATGGTAATAAACCACTGAGTAGTCCAACCGTGGAGTCGGGTGAGTAGTAAGCAAGAGAATAAAGAGAGAGGAAAGGTAGTGCAAAGCAGGAATATATTTGCTTGATTTCGGGTCCATTATAGTGCCATGGCCTAAGGCTATTTATAGCCTCCTTTCTATTATAATGGTGGTAACCGTGATTGACACTTGTTTGTCGTATAGTTCTTGTTGTCGCCTCTCGTGTTATTTGGCTTCCCATGAGATTCTCTTTTGTTTAATCTGTGTCTTTGGCAATTGGAGGTATGTGAGATGTCCAAACCTCTTTCAGTGCGTTTACGTGGTATGGTAGAGTTGAGTATAGATCTTCCCCAGACTGAGCAGAGCTTCTCAGCTCGGTACGACCGAGCTGAGCTTGCTGGCTCGAGTGGAGTCCAACATATCGAGCCGAGCTTTTGGGACCCAATTGAGCTTACCTAGGGGGTGGGGTTCGGTCCTGACAATTGGAGGGGGACGCGCGAGAGTACAAAGCTGCATGACCCCTAGGCCCGTGGCTCCACGCGCGAAAGGATCTCAGAGGGATGATAACATTGGTATCCTGAAGCGACGCGTGTGCTGGCGTTTTGTTTTCCGATCCCAAGCTGCCACATCAATACACATCATCAAGCCGGACCGATTTATTTCTTCGGCCCATCGTTCATCAAGTATACTACGTATATACTACTCCCTCTATCCTAAAATTAATTTCTCATTTTGACTTTTGCAGTCAAAGTTTTTAAACTTTGACTGTATATTACGAAAAATATATATTGAATTTTCATATAAATTTAGTATCAATAGATTCAAACATAGTTTTGAAATATATTATTTTGATAATATATATACATATAAAAATGGAGATATTAAGGGTCAAAGTACCGCATTGGAGACCGTGAAAAGTCAAATGGGAAGTTAATTTTAGGACGGAAGGAGTAGTAATTATCAACCCTGTGTTCTTCATTCCTCATTCTTAGAGAGAGAAAGTAACCAGTGTTTGCCCGCGTCTCGTCATTCACCCGCTGTAGGATGGAAAATTGTTATCGGGATTGAAAATCCAAGATTTAGTGCCGGGTCAACAAAATCTTTTTCAAAAACGAGTATTTTCAAGTCAGGTTTCGAGTAAAAAATGGGTCGGGTCATTTTTTGGCAGATCTAATTCTGATACAAACTTTTCTATTTTCTTTTTTAGGGAGGGCGGGACTGACAATAAATTTGAAATTTTTTTTAATGGTTAGTACTCACACGGTGCATCCTATCATATAAATACATGAGATAGCTTTGAGATTTGTCTTAACATATAGATTATTAATATATAATTTCTATAATTTTTTAATATACAAATTACAAGATATAATGGATTAAAGAAGTGCATTGGATGGTGTGTAAAAATGAAAGTGGACAAATACTCTGAGACGGATAGAGTACATGCTAGAACGTCTTTGGTGTGATCCGTTATCCATTCCCCTCCATTGATTCTTTAGGTGGCGGCCTGTTACTGGTTCGCATGCTGGGACGTTCCCGCCGGCGATGTGCACGCGTGTTAGACGCCGCCTCTGCATTTAATGTTTCGTACGGATATCATTGAAAATAGGTTAGCCAGAAATGACTGGCCCAAGATAGAGTGATCCTTGGCCTGTCATTTGGCCCGCCCATTCAGGTGATTTGAGCCCAAGTATGTCCCGACCGGTCGTCGAGGCCCAATAGTCGTCGTCCCCCCCCCCCCATTCATTCAAAAAAATATGAATAAA